TTCTTTTTTTTTTGTCTGTTGGCCACCTGCGTTTGCTTCACTCTCTCTTTAGAATGACTTGAAGGTCCTTCCGTTGGAAAAAAAATACCATAACAATAATTATCAATGAATACTTGAAAATGTTGAATTAGAGCTCTATGTAATCAAAAATTTGAATTTCAACTCTTGAGATTTAAAATTCTATTTCGATCCTCCAAAAAAATTTATAAATTTAATTTCAAGATTTATTTTAGTTGTATTTTTTATTGGGATGAGGAAAAATACTCATAAACTGAGAAAACCAAAAAAATCAAACTAAAAAAATTTGAATTAACTAATTATAAAATTATAAAAAAAAATCAATTCGATTTAATTTGATTTTTAAAATTTAAAACTGATTAAACAAAATCGATTCAACCAGATAAACACATAAAATACAAGTATAAATAGAATGTTTTTTTACCTAAATTAGCATTTTCTAAATACAAAACAAGTCGTCACGCCTTCATTTGCTTTGTTCTCTATGTATCTCCTCTCCTTTTGCTCTCTATATCTCTCTTTCTCTATATCTTAACCAGCAAGCCCCCCATACAGGTACATACATAAACATCTACTCGATGAACCTTAGTGGTAAAGCAGCTGCTAAAAGAAAAGGGAGGACGAGCAGTGAGTTTAATAATCCACTCTTTCTATTCGCTCTAGCCAAGCTTTCATCCGTTTTTACTTCAAGTATAGAAGAGAGGAAAAGCAGTTTTTTTCGATACGATCTCCTTGTCTCGCTGCACCAGTATAAAGGAAAACTTCAGAATAAGGTAGTGGGCTAAAATTCCAGTTCGGTTTAATTTGGTTTTTAAAGTTTGAAACTGATTGAACAAAACCAATTCAACTAGGTAAACACTTAAAAATACAAGTATAAATAGGATGTCTTTTCTAACTCTAAACCTAAATTAGCATTTTCTAAACACAAAACAAGCCGTCACCCCTTCATTTGCTTTGCTCTCTATATCTCTCCTTCTCTGGATCTTAACCAGTAAGCCCCCCATACAAGTATATACATAAACATTTACTCGACGAATCTTAGTGGTAAAGCAGTTGCTAAAAAAAAAGGGAGGATGAGCAATGAGTTTAACAATCCACTCTTTCTATTCGCTCTAGCCAAGCTTTCACTCGCTTTTACTTCAATTATAGAAGAGAGGAAAAGCAGTTTTTTTTCGATATGATCTCCATGTCTTGCTGCACCAATACAAAGGGAAACTTCAGAATAAGGCAGTGGGCTCGTGAAATAGACAACAAACCTTCTTAACCCCCGTTCTTGCATATGTGCCCCTCAAAAGCTAGAATAAGAGGTCAAAATGGATTGTTAACGTACTTAATCAAACAAGTGATTTTCTTCCCAATAACGGATTGCCAAACCCTGATTTTGTTTTTCTTCTCCGGGTCATCGAAAGCTCAAAGCTATTAGTTTTGTTCTGTCACACTCTATTCTAATTCTTTCTACTCTTGAGTTACCATTTGAGGAGACTCAGAAAAAGAAGAAACCCATGAAGTAGTAGCAGCTACTTTTTCTGCTTCGTCTTAAAGCTAGAATCAATCACTAGATTTCATATTTTTTAGGGAAAAAGTTGTGTACATATTCTTTATAAGGTTTGGGTTGCTAAAAGTAAACCCCTATTTTGGCTTGTACAGAAATAACATCATTTCATAGATTTTCAAGCTAGCAAACTAAACCAACCAGTTTGGAAGGGAAAAAAATTGAACTGAACCAAACCAAAACTAGTCGGTTTGAACTGGTTTTTGGTTCAGTTTTGTTTAAAATTTTGAAAAAAAATCATTTTTATTTGGTTATTTATTTTGATCTAGAATCAGATCATACCGAACCGAAAATGCTCACCCTTAATCCTCTACATAGCATCCCACTTCTCTTTATTATATTTTAAATACAATTTACAATTTTATTTTTTTATATCAAAAAAATTTTCTCTACCTATTTATTTAAGCTAGCTTAATAAAAAAAAATTCAACTTAAAAATATTTTTATATGCGTCCCTTTTTAATATGGACTCGATAATATTTAGGTAATCTTAAATTTAGAGGCTTTATAATTTCATACATCCTAGTATTTGTTTTTTTCAAGCAATCTATAACATTTAATATCCTTTAAGGTTTTTACTATAGTATTTATGAGCCAATCTTTTTTATTTAATATTTTGATACTCTAAAAAAGTCTAAAATCCAATATATTTGGACTCGGTCATATGTTGAGCTTAAGTTAACGAGAATCTAGCAAATTTCTAAATACAATATAATTGAGTTTAGTCATGTATTGAGCACAAGATGTCATTAGTCTGACAAACTACTAAACTCATTATACTTAGGTTTATTCATGTATTGTGCCCAAGCCAACATGAGTGTGATGAGTTGTTAAATTCAACATAGTTGGGTTCAACCATACATTGAGCTCAAAGCATTGTGACTTTATCAAGCTGTCAAACTCATTATACTTGAGTTTAGCCACAAGTTGAACCCAAGACGTCGTGTGTATGGTAGGGTGTCAAACCGAATATACTTAAGTTTAGCCACGTGCTGAGCTTATAGCGTCGTGGATCTAGAAAGATGTCAAATCTAATATACTTGGGTTCAGCCATGAACTGAGCCCAAGTGTTGCGTGTATGGCAAGGTTCCAGACTAAATACATTTGGGTTCAGCAACGAGGTGTTGTGGGTGTGGCAAGGTGCCAGACCAATATACTTGAGTTTAGCCATGAACTGAGCCTAAGGCATCATGTGCATGGCAAGGAACCATATCAAATACACTTGGGTTTAACCACATACTAAGACTAAAGCATCATAAGTTTGGCAAGATGTCATACTCAATATAATTGGATTCAGTCATGAGCTAAACCCAAGGCACCATGGTTCTAGCAAGTTATCAGACCTAATATACTTGGATTTAACCATGTGTTGAACCTAAGGCACAGTGAGTCTAACAAGATGCCATACTTAATATACTTAGGTTCCGGTGTCATACTTAATTGGTTAGAGTTCTATCTTAAGACTTTCAACATGAACTATTCATGTTAGGGATTACAATCTCTTTATATTTGTAAGTGTATAAAAAGTCTCTCGTTGATATACATTTTCATCTCATTAATTATTTGTAAGAGATATTTGTTCCTCAATAATTATATGTTAGAGATTTTTATCATTCATTAATGCCATCAAGACCATATAACTCTTCAATCCCTCAACTTCATCAAAACAATAAGTTCAAGGATTATAAATACTCTCTGAATCATCCAAGTAAATGGTTTATTTTTTCTACTCTTCAAGCATTCATACTTTAATCCTTAAAGAATTTATTATACAAAAAAAAAAAAACAATCACTCTTGTTCTTGGAATTTAAAACTCTTTCTTTTATGTATTACAATCTTCATTTGAAGTTACTGACTTTATCATAGAAAAATCTCATACCTCACTAAAAAAACCTGTTCTACAAGTATCAAAACTTTCACTATCAATTATGTACTTTCTCAATTATAAAAAAGGGAATATTAAAATGAATATTTAATTAATTATTATCCAAACACTAAAGAACTTGTTCCTCAACGTATCAAATTTTGAGAAATCATCAAGCATTATTAGAAAAACTATATTCATCCATACGATCATATGTGATGAGATACTGAACAAACATGACTCAATAATAATATAATTATTATTATTTTTTGTTTTAAAACCTAATATTAAATCTTTATATTTTTATATTTATTTGTGACTTAATCCTTTCATTTCTAGTGAAATTTCTCATACAATTTATTACAAATAAAATCAAAAGTAAATTTAAGAAAGACAATTTGGATGTTTTAGAAAGAATTAATAATAGACTCTGGCTTAAAATTTTCAAAACAAAAGGACTAATATACAAAATCATAAAAACACAAGAACTATAATTTAATAAGTTTTGAGGAATGTCTAAACAATGTTGAAGTTTTTTTTTTACATGTATACCAATTTATTAATTCATTAATTTCACCATATATTCTTTTTCTACTTAGCTTAATATTTCGTTTATAATATAACCATTGTTCTGTCTCACACATAACGGTATATGTATAAAATGATAAAGCTTTCTTATACAGACACACACGCATATATATATATTTTGTAATTTAAAAACATAGAATCAAAATATTGTAATATCAAAATATCTTGTACCCATTAATTTTTTTACTACAAAGATGGTAAAAATTACATTTATACAATTTAAGTTCACATAAATGAAAAAGTACATATGCAAATTGGGTAGGAGTACAATAATTTCTTCCAAAATAGTAATGGAAAATCAAGACTTTAGCTCTCATGGGGATAAGGCGCCACTCAATTACTTGATTGTGGATCGAGAAGTTAATTAAAATTTTGATTTTTTTTTTATAACAGTTTTATTTAAAAAAAAAAAGAAAAAAGAAAAAGATTTCTTCACCTGGGCAGCGCCCAATCTAAGCTTGCAAGAAGCTAAACTGAGAGCAAAGAATTAGAAAGAATCTTGGTCGTTGTTAATAAGAGCCTCCTGTCTGTGCGAGTGTGAGGGGCCCTCTTTTCTAAAAAGTATAAACGATAAAACTACTTACTACCCACTCCCATCATTTTGTGTTCTCTCATTCCACCCTGGCAATCCTCGTCACTGCCCTGTCCTCTTCTTCCCTTTCACTGGCTACCTCTTGGACAGGTTTCCCACACGTGCTCCCTGTATCCTCTTCCTCTGTCTTTCCACCCTGGCAACCCTCGTCACTACGGTGTGGCCCACTTACCGGCCACCTCTTCAACCGGTCCCCCACACGTGCAAACATGACCTCCGTATACACAAAGATACTTACTTCCATTCCCATTCCTAACCTTCGTGTGGTGCGACGAATAAAGGTTGGAGAGAGAAAGAAGGGGTAAGAGAAAGACAAGGAGAGAGAGAGAGAGTGCTGTTGTGTTATTAAAGCATATAATAATTATAATTAAAAAAATCATTTTGTTGGTCTTATATTTGTTGTTGTATTTTTGGGTAGTTTTGCACTCTCTTTCTCTGGTTTTATTGTGTATGAAATCTGACCTTCAAAGATCACTACTTTCTACTTCTATGAGCTATATTTTTTCTCTTTTGGCCTTGCTATCTTCTTCAAGAATCAAATCCTTCTTTTCTTGCACCGATGAGGATTAGAAACAGAAAGGTTCCTTTGCCTCTTTCATCCCTTTCCCCTATACCTCTCTCAGATCCCCAGTTTAGCCGGTCTCCGGTGGTGCAACTTCAATTACACAACAGCCCACATCAAAGTCTCCATCAAGAACCTCAGAAGGATGAATACTTTGATCTTCACCTGCCTTCTGATCGCCTAAATCAACCGATCGGAGGTGGAAGCAAAGGTCATGATGATTGCTCCCATGGTGCTGGGCCACAAGAAGAGAAGAAGGTAAGCAGTACTGACTGTTAATTTGGTTAGTTAAAAGAAACAAAAAATCACTACAACCCTTTTATCTAAGTTTAATGGGGTGATTATTCATGAGGGTGCACTTGGGTTCAATGTCACTTAAAGAGTCAATTTTGTTGGATCTACCTTTTTGTATGGCCAATTTGCACCCATCAAGGTTACATTATGATTTAGCACATCAATATTTCTTGAGATTTTATTGTAGGTTTTGTTGGAAGAGGGAGATGGGATTAAAGGAGGAGAGCCAAGAGAGAAGAGTAATGATACCAGGTAAGAAAGTGGTGAAAAAAAAGTTAAATCCATGGTCTTCTATTCTTTCATGAAATCTTGTAGTGAAAAAGGTGAAAAGAGGGAGACCTATGGATTAATTTTTTGGCTACGGAAAAGAAAATAAAAATACTGTAAGTGGAAATACTGTATGCAAGTGTTTTTATATGAACTTGAACTTTGGCTAGCCACCATACCTTCTCCCATCTAATCTAGTCCATTTACCCTCTCCATTTTGGCTAACTAATACGCCCATGAGGTGCACGCTAGTATGGGTCCACGCTGCTGGTCCCCATAATAGATACACATCTTCCTCTATTTAATTTGCACTCATTTTATTTACTGGTTTCTCCTTGTTTTTCTTATCGCTGTAAATTATGTGAATTTGGGTTTCTGGGTTTGGTTTATTTTTAGGAGGGGAAGTTTCTTGAGTGAAGGAGTACACGTTACGGTTCTTCAACAATCTAGTTCTTCCCATCAAGGTAAAGATTATATGTGTTCGAAAACCATTTCAAAAGTAGACAGAAAATTATCGTTAGTCTTTATGTTGTTGTATTTGGTTGCACTATAGGAGTTGGGAGATGGGGTGAGGGAGAGAAGGCATTTCCATTAAAGAAGAGAAGAGGGAGCTTTGAAAGGAGATCGAATGAAGAAACGATAGTGGATAGAAACAAGAAAATGAAAACCAAAATGAAGACAAAGATGAACAAGAAATGTGTGCAACAGAATGGTGATAATGAAGAAGATGAGAAGGAAACAAAAGAAGGTGCTGGTTCCAATATAAAAGCAAAGCCTAGGGGTGGTGCACTGTTGGAGGGATCACGGTGCAGTCGTGTTAATGGTAGAGGATGGAGGTGTTGTCAGCAAACCCTTGTGGGATACTCTCTTTGCGAACATCATTTGGGTAAAGGAAGGCTAAGAAGTATGAATAGTGTTCGAAGCCGATCCATTGCCACTACTGTACCAAAGAAGGACGAGTCTGAGGAAGTATCGAGCCATTTATTACCGTCGCAGAAGAAAGAAGAGACTAAAGGGGCTTCTTTAGATGATAAAGTTAGTGTTGCATATGATGAAGATGGTAAGGAGAAGCCATTGGTGGTCTCAAAGAGGAAGATGAAGCTTGGTGTGGTGAAAGCTCGATCAATGAGCAGCTTGTTGGGCCAAGCAAACAATGCAGTTGGAGTGGCTGAGAATAACGACTAGGGAAACTCTCTTGATGGTGTTGGGTGATCTGCCTAGCTAGTGCAAGCATAACAATTGTTCTTTTCTGTTTGAGAGTCTGAATGAAGAACGAAAGGAAGCTGGATAGATCCTTGATCAAGTGTTATCTTTCTCTTGAACTGCATTATAATTAATATTTTCTTTTCTTTTCTTTCTGTTTCTGAACTAATCTTAATGTTTTGCTTAATGCTTTTGTATTATGACTGGTGGGTTTGATATATGTTACTTGACTGAATCATATGGATTTTACTTTCAGTTTAATTCAGATTTTTCTGGAAAAAATGTGTATTTTACTTGTATACATTTACGGTGAGTTTTGTAGTGCAGTGTTCTTATAATATTTGAAATTTGTTTTTTTATTTAAAATTATTTTTTTAGTATTTGTTAATCATTTTAATATATTAATGTCAAAAATAAAAAATATATATTATTTTTATATATTAAAAAAATATTTTAAAACATAATCCCTACTGCTAACTTTCACGGGAGCTATAGATTTGGACTGTGAGCGCATGTGTTGACCAAGAAAACGTGGTTGTAGAAAACGTGATTGTGGAAACTATATATGACAAGAATTAATTGGTTGAGGCTTTCTTCATTGAATGGTGAAATTGCACTATTAAAAATAAACAAGTTTCATTGGATTGATTTTGATTTTATTTGTTGTAAGGATGACATTTTGACAAGTTTGTTTGAAGATTTGTTGGAAATCAACTGTTGACTACAAATATTTATAGATTTGCTTTCAGAAAACCCAGGTAGCCAAGAAAAAAAAAACCTGATTTAATTAAAATGTTTTTTTTATAATATAAAAGAAAGAAGAACAATAATTTGATAGTTTGATGGTGTCCTCAGCTACCTTGAGCATATGGGAAGACTTGGACTGATGAAATCCTCACATTGCTATACGTACGTAAATTGAGGATTTTATTCAGACATTAGAATTTACATATCCTGACGTGGTCTTTCATAAACCTAGTTCTTCGTGCCGATTTTTACTCGTAACAATCTTATTCTTTATTGTAATAATTTCTTTTTCGTAATTAACTATGAGATGTAGTCGATGCAGGCAGACACTTTATATATTTTATCTGCTGCAGATCAGCAAAACCCATACATACAGACATGTTCAAGCTAGCTAGGATCATTTTTAGCTGCAAGGAGCCATTCTCCGACACTACTGATCTCTAGGGTGGAGAGTAGTCTTCGAATATTCCCTGAGCCATTGAGAACATGGATCAGATGGTTCTTCGTATCTAGCTAGAGATTGGGTGGGTTAGGACGCGTAAGTATAAGAGGACCTTGTATTGCTCGCCCTTGTGTTCATTTATTTTCCAAATTAAACGTTTCCATACCAAAATTAAGTACAGATTAATCTCTTTCAGGATTGGTAAAAGCACCTTCAGAAGTATATGGTACATTTAAATTCATCCTCTTGAATAATTTCTTTTCTTTCGATGAACCGCAAGATGTTTAGATTGACATTCCTTTTGCTATATTTCATCTGGTTAGCTATTAAATTTTATATATAAGTCATAAAACTGTAAAGGGTTAGTTTTTTTGATAATTTTATTATATTATCAATGTGCTTATCTTAACAATGATGAATATTATTATTTTTTAACATTTTTTTGAGTAATTTATTAAGGTTTTTGATATTTTATGAGGATGAGGAAACATGCTCAACTAAATGAATAAATTATAATGAAAGAGTATGGATCCAAGCATGTAATTTATAGTTTAAGGGTTGAAAATAGAAATATAAATTATTTAGCGAATATTGTCAATCAAAACTGATATTAAGAGGTATCTGTGCATATTAGACTAGTGACCTTGGTTAGCACGCGTAAGTATAAGAGGACCTTGTATTGCTACTAGTGATCTTGGTTAGTGTAACAGCAAAAATTATGGAGCATGATGTCAAATTCCAAAATCTCCCTGTTTGAAGAGTAAATTATAACTTGGTTCTGATATTAATTTTTACAAAACTAAAAAATTAATCCACAGTTTCAGCAATTTTATGTTTAACCCTGTATTCTTTAATGTATTTATAATTTAATTTTTTTCTCAATTTCGTGTTATTAATTTTCCAATTTATTTTTTTCTAAAAAAATAGAATAAATAAAAGAGAGGCAAGTGGTTTCAAATATTTAACTAGAGAAAACGTATTTCCAAAAGAATAAAAAAACTGAGAACAGTCAACGCAGATCAAGAGAGTATTTAACTATTTCTTATACCATAAAGAATAATTAATCAATTTTGACACTAATCTTAATTAACTCCAGTTTGCATGAGTGTGTCATCAGGCGGCCTATTGTCGCAGCTAAATTCGGGCTTGCTAACTTTCCTTTTCTGAAGGGTTTGTTTGGCTAACGGGCTCCCATTAACATCTAGAGGCGATGGGCAAGGGAGGAAAGCAGCCGCACATTAAGCGCAGATCCAAACACAGAGGTCAACGTTGCGCTTGGAATATGTCCAAAGGAAACGCATCATTTTATTACCAAAAAAACAATTTAATTATATGAGCACGAAAGTGGCGTATGACATAAAACGACATCTCCTAAAGCCTCATTAATTAACAATTTAAGCTTTTAAGCTGTATGAATTGAGTGATTCTTTGGTAGTTTTATAATGTTTAATTAATATAAAAATTTTCCTAAATTCTCATTTATTTATTCAATTTTGCCTGCATTATCCTAGTTGTTTCTGATTTTGAATAAGCACGAGAGCATAGAGACTCAAGTCCAAATTCCCCTGGACCCGCTGGCCACAACCCATTAATTCATATTTCCACCCTGGCGTTGTGCATCGTAGTGCCCCAGAGTCCCAGCTCACGGTAGCCGGTGGCCCTCAAGCTCGGTGCCAGTCTCAGCCACACGTGCTGGGCCTTCAATTCCCCTACCTAAGCTGCACGTTATTCTATAAGCATATAAATTGTTTGCTAGTGTGGTGCAACAAATAAAAGTTGGAGAGAAAGAGATGGAAAGAGAGATTTAGACAACTTTATCCGTTGAAGGTGAAAATTCTTCAAGGGGTTTCTTAAATTCTTTCACCTGTTTGTATATCCTTCACTGTCAATCCACTCGAGTATGGCCCCGAAAGATGCTTGGAATAGAGCATCTTTTCCATGAAAATGAAGCTAAGTTTTTTTTTTTTCGTCTACATCATTTAAGAGCAATTCCAAGCCTGTGGACCTTTAAGTTCCACTATTTGACAATAAGGTCTTTGAATTTGTGCCTCTTTTCCCCCCCCTCGCCCTCCTCTCTCAAGCTTTATTGTGTCCTCATGGTTATCAAGCTCGTCGTCGTCCTTTTCCTTTTCATTGCAGAGGAGCATATGCATGTTCTTTTGATAAGTTTTCTACAAATCGAAATGATCCCTTCTGAAGAATTTTACATTATGGCGACCTGGAAAAAACTAGGAAATTCGTCTATACATGAAATTAACCACTGCAAACTTATGGATGGAGTGGATCGACTGGAAAATAAGTCCAACATGCAAACTCTGACATCCAAAGTTCTTGAAATCCCCATATAAAATAAAATTCCATTCCTTTCTTCAGTTTATGTTTTTGTGCCTTTCATCACTCTAGTACTTGTTAGAAGAAGCCCCACGAACAGAGTACTTGCCCGAATGGAAGCATCGCAAATCGCAGTACTGAATATGCCAAAATGGGGCTGGTAAATGGTAGTACTCACGGGCGCCTCACCTGCAGTCTCAGTTTGAATCATAAAAGCGAGGTAAATTCAGAATATATGCATGTGCGAGCTGGGACTTGTTCACGATTTTAGAATTTCTTAGGCAAGAACTCGATCTTTCAGTAGAAATAACTTCTTAAACCAAAGAGTGACCACAATAGTTTCGTGGGGATGGCTGGTAAAAACGTGTTTTTACTATTGAATTGTGTTGAAGAATCCAACTTAATACCAGAAAGACGTCTTGATTCCTGGTTTCTCTCACTAACCTCGAACTCATGACTAATTAAGTATATATGTTTTGGAACTTAATCCCCACAAGCTAGAAAGGAGGGCATGACTTCTAGACTCTAGTCCTTCTGGGCTTTATTGTGTTCTTTTACATAGCCTGTTCAGTATTGAATTCCAGCTGGCCTATATAAAAAAGTATTGATTCCAAACAGCAAGTTAATACAATACGACTGTGTGTGTGTGTGTGTGTGTGTGTGGAGAGAGAGAGAGAGAGAGAGGATAGAGCTATAGATGTGCACTCAAGATTTCTGAGTTTCAAAGGCCAAACTTAGATGATGTTGTTAATTAACTGAGGGAATCCTAACGCCTTAGGGGCGGCGGCGGGTGCATTCAAGACCTTCCTCGTGCCAAGTGCAAGTGCAGCCTGGAATATTATGCAGACAACACAAGTACACATCACCTAGTATGTCACCTCGCATAGACTTAAGTGTAGAAAGTCTTTGTGTATATTTATATATTCAATATACTAACTCTGCATTTTTCTTATTTTATGTAACCAGTGCTTAGTATTCACGATACATATTTTGAGTATAGTATTACGGAACATGTTATTTTAATGTTGTCAGCAGGCAAACCCTTTGTTGACGAAATAATGTCCAGTACTGCTCTTCAGTAAGAAATCATGTAATAGGCTCAGGGGATTTTCTAAAGTTGTGTTTACGAAATGCGAGTCCCACAACGATTTTTCTTTTTCTTTCTTTTTTTTCTTTCTTTTTGTCTAATGAGATGTGTAATGGATTTTGGGATACAAAATGAAGACAATAGAAGAATACATGTGGGTGATGAGACAGCTTTAAGCATAAAGGTCCACTTGGGGCTAAAGTTGAATCAATCATCAAATGATTATGATTTTAATCATGATTAACGGACCATGTCAATTTCAGTTGTGTTTCTACATTCTGTGATGTCCAGGCTGGCTCCATGCTCCCCTCAATTCTCAGGCACCCCCAGCTTGTAAAGTTTTGTACGTTCTGCTAGCTGGTAGCTTAATTAACAGCATATACATCCCCAGTTAATGCAACTAACAAGCAAATTAAGATGTTTTCTCTGCATTAAAAAAAAAAGAAGAAACATGCAAGCTTAAGAAACTCATTAACTCCTGTCCTTGCCTTTCGGCTGATACATGTAGAAGCATGCGTCTATCAAATTATATCATGAGTTCATTGGTATCAGGCTAATATTATCCAACTACATGACACTGATTTTTGATATCTTAGGGGGTAAAGATGCCTACAATAGCTAGCTAGCTGTTGGGACCCTTGGCTTTACAATTGGTGAC